TTTCCATAAGCTCCTCTAAACGAATCTGCCTTATTTCACGACATTTTTTTCAAACTCGTGTTCAAGGGATGCTCAACGCATGACGTGCTATCCCTCAGGGAGATCGCTTATTTCCATCATGCTGATCCGATCAAATCTGTCAACAGACATTCGATATCCAACCTCCATCCTCACCACCCTTGAGGTTCTCGCCATCCCTGCACAAGCGTTCCAAACTATCGCTGCACTGCACATTCTTTGTGAATGCAAGAGGAAACGAAGAGCTTATATCATATCATATTAATTTCGCTCCTTTCTGGCTAATTCGAAGTAGAAGAAGAAAATCGTGATAATTCGTTCGTTGAGCATGATGTATTCAAATTTCAGAGCAGAGCTCTCAGTTTCCTCAGATAGAAGAAATGCGCTTTCCAATGACGTGCAAAACATAGCAATGTGGCGGTCTGCAGAAATTAGTTCAAAGCGACATAATGGATTGGAAAATGGACTGTCAGAAACGGTGTGAACATTTCTTACAACTTAATAGGTAGGTATTTTGAGTGCCAGATAGCTCCGACACCAGGACCGAGTGAATTATTTGTAATCAATACATTAATTAACATCTACAGATGAAATTTCAGCATTCTGCTGACTTTTTAGCTGGAGAAGAGTGTAACTAATTTTGCCGCTAACGCATGGTAAGGGTGCAGTGGTCGCAACGGTAACCGCATACAAGATCTCCTTTTCGTTAAATGGGGAAATAAGCCCCTGTCCCTTTTCTAGGGTCAGTTCTTGAGGATGACCCCGTATCTTGCGTATCTATCTTAGTGCCTACTTTGGAGGGCTAATAGGAAGTGATTAGGAAATGAAAAAAAAATTAAACAATGGTCAAACTGCCAACCTCAGAAACTTTCATTAGGCGATTTCGTAAAGGCAAACCGGGATTAAACTGGTGCTATTAGCGCTTCGTGGTGATAGCTTAGCTGCGGAACGACCTGAAAGTGGGAAGGAAAGCAAGAGAATCTTTGGGAACGCTGAAATTAAGGCCTTAACCTTCAATAAGGTCGGATGTGGTACGATGGCGAGACAGGGCGGTCAAAGAGACAAAATACGCGAGAGAGCACGTCGTTCGAGAGAGCACGCTGATCTCACCATCTCTCGCGGTGGGTGGGAAGCGTTGCAACGGGGTCGATGGTTGCAGGCCCGTAAGGATTAGCGCCCTAACCGCGCAATTTTTGCGACGAAGCTGGAGTGATCTAGGTAGGTACGGACCTTACAATTTCCCTCGTGGTATCCCTCCTACTAGTCGGGCTAATCCCGGTTTGCCTTTAATTCACAGCCATGAAAAGTGGCACAATATGGTCTCCAAATGAGCGTAAGGTTACAGGTGAAACAAACTTCGAATGTGGGTCGATCTGCTTCGAGAATGAAAATTGCGCCGCCGCAACAGCTCCACTCGAGTGACCCATCACAGCAACATTGTTAGGATCTCCACCAAAACACTGAATTTCCTTCTGAACGAACTCCAATGCAGCCAGAAGGTCTAAAAGGTTTCAAATAAGTGCTTGTTTAGCACAAGAAGAGTCGCAACGCTCGTACCGTACGCCGCTATATTTCTAGGAACGATATTATCTGATGCAAACGTTAGTAGTCCAAAAAATCCGAGTCGCACTCCCGGGATCACCAGAACAATTCCTAGGGAAATAGCGATAAAGAAAGATGTGTTAGGTGTATGTATTACTTACAAT